TCACTGCTGCCGGGCCCATCCACCTCTGCGAACTGCCACGGGGCCTGTATGTCTCTGCCGGTTGCCGCTGGGCCTGTACGTCCCTGTCGGCCGCTGCCACCGGCCCCTCCACCTCCGCAAGTCGCCGACCTGCGTCTGCCCATCTCCGCCGCGTGGCCTGTCCACCTCTGTGGACCACCGCCAGGCCTGAATGTCTCTGTCGGCCGCCGCCGCCTGTCCACCTCCGTCTGCTTATCTCTGCTGCAGGGCCTGTACACCTCTGTACACCTCTGTGGGCCGCCCCTGGGCCTGAATGTCTCCGCCAGCTGCCCCTGGGCCTAAATGTCCCTGCCAGCCACTGCCGCCGGACCCGTCTACCTCCGCGGGCCGCTGCCACAGGCCTACCTGCGTCTGCTTGTCTCCGCCATCTTGAATCTACTTCCTATTCTGTATTTTTTATGTTGTAATATTACAAATTCCAAAATTTCTAGATTTGCTACTATTTTATACTGTAAATAGTGGTTTACCTTAATATTTCCTCACTTTTTAAAATTCTGATGCTTTGAATTTCTTTGCTTTTCGTTGACCTCATCTGGGATATTTTCCTTGCGGAAATGGTTTATATCTTGAAACTCATATGGTTATTCCTTTGAGGGGCTGTTAACAACTTTACGTCACTTCATTTTTCAAACCACTTTGACTGTGTAGACTCATACTTTTCAATATGAGGGGGTTTGAAAAATGACTTTGTGGAAACAGGTCACACACATATGGATCATAGTTTTTTATATATTTCCATCCCTCAAACTATTCACTGAAGTTGTTACTGCTGTTATATTTAATGTAAGGAGGGTAAGTGTGATTCCTTAAATTTCTTTTTTATACAGACACCAAAGCCTTTGACTTTTCTTGATAGCTCTCATTCACATTTGATACATACATACTATTGCTGTAAAAATCAATCAATTTAATATCGAGGTAAAATTATTCATCAAGCTTCTAGCAAGATGTTTAATATAAAATCCTTCATATTAAAGATTCAAAATTAAGGCTTCCCCAGTCTTAAAAATCTCCATTTTTTTGTGATTTTCTTCAAATTGTTTTTCATTTAATTGAGTTTAACTCTCCGATAAAACATGATATGAATGTCAATGATAGCTTCTCAGAGCATGGATGTAGGCAAATTAATGCAGAGAAATATAGTCTTATATTCTAAAAAGGCTATATTAATAATCATGTTAACAACAATCATCTCTTAATATGGTGTTCTAAAAGTAGTTTATATTCCAATTCAGAAATAGAATTAATGTTTATAATGCATTCCCTGATTTAAAGATCACTAAATAGCTTGTAAATTAATCTGAAAAATATTTGGTTGTATTTTTTAAACCAATGTATCTTTAGCATTCCCATGTATTTTTTTGCTAAAGGTGCAGATGAGTACACTCATTTCTCTCCTGTGTAGAGGCTTCCAGTAACCTGGGCATAGTAACTGTGGTCCCTGAGATCTTGAAAATCTGTTTTGTCTCATAAAGTCCTGGAAATCCTTGAAATTTAAAAAATTCTTATTCTCATAATGCTTCTGTGTGTCCTAAATTCACATGGCTTGTTCACAGTGCATATCGCCTTAGCTAAATATCTCCCACTCCAGATTAAGGTTCTCTGGGGCAGCGTTTTCTGTTATCTTCTCTTTTACTTCTCTAACACATTCCTTTGGTTATTTCTATATTGCTTTGTCAGTTTTCAAAATGAAATTTTTTATATTATTTTTTAAAATGTTCTTTTGGAGATAGGAAGAAACATCAGTTTGATCTTATGAAGCCAAGAGTAGCAATTTGAAAAGTGGTAATAATTACTTAAAATCTGGCTTCTGATTTGGAACCAAAATGTGTCCGGTATGTGATTCTAGAAACAGAAGAGAAACTAATACCACTGTCAACCTGCTGCAATGGCAGAGGGCAAAGTGAAACAAGAGTACAAAGGAACGTTGTAGGAAAGGAGACGTTTTTCTGCCTTGAATTTAAGGACATTACATAGATCAGATTCATTATCTTCCTTGTTACTGATGACCGGCATCAAATCATCTATCAGAGATTGAAATGGAAAGTCAATACAATGCAAAGCTGATGTTTTAAAATATTCAATATGCTCAGTAGCAACCCTTCATGATGTCAGAACCTTTATTTAAATTTGTAAAATTCTATATTTTATTCTTTTCATTTATAAATTTAAAAATTTTCAAAAATCAATTTTTAAAGAAAATGAAAATGAGAAAATGCCAGTATAGTGGCATGTGGTGATAAGCAATTTTGAAAATGATGAAGCAAGAGCATCATCATTTTGGGCTACATCTGGGATAAAGAAGACAGCTTAGTCAGCAAAATGATTTCTGGCCACGGTGGCTCATGCTTATACCCTAATTTGGGAGTCTGTGGATTAAACTAATGAGCCATTCTAGATGACTGATTGTAGACTAGTAAGAAACTTGTCTCAAAAATTTAAAAAATTCGTGGATGAGTGAACAGTGCCTAAGCCATCTAAGAGTGTTCATTAATCTACACACACACACACACACACACACACACGAAATTCATGCACACATACATGGATACATGACTACACACAGGCACACACAGAGATACAATCGTGTCAACAAAACTATATATAATCGAATATTAGTTTCACAATAATTAATAAAACTTAAAATTTTGTTTTATAGTATTGTCATAATATAGATATTAAATTGTTACTAAAGTATCTTATTGAAAATAAACTTTCAAGTAATTATAGAATTTTTATTTTAACTTTATATTAGAATGGTATAACCCTAGCTTTAACATTTTACTATATGTTTACTTTAACATTTTACTATATATATATTTTGAAATCTTAGGAGGTTAGAGTGAATTAGAGTATGCTCAACCATATGTTTAACATACCTGGCAATACAAAGGTGAAAACTTTATAATTATTTGTTATGATGGTGTATGGTCAATAAGGAACTTAAAAATAAGTTGAGGACAAACTGATTATAAATTTCAATACATATTTCTTTCTTGAATTTCAATAAAAGTTATATGAAGTATGTCTTTCCTTCAGCTATAGGGTCCTAGCATCAAGTTTTCATGGGGGACCAAGAGTAATAAGAGTACTTTGGTTTGTTTCAGATTTTCTGAGTCTCATCTTCCTGGTTATAGCATCAGTCAAAATGGATCAAGATGTATGGTAATATATGATGTAATTTTATTCAGCTAAAATCAAGAATACTAAAATTAAGAAATCTGCAAAAATATTGGTGGAAATGGTGGTCATTTTGCTAAATGGAATAAGATTGATTCAGAAAAGGCAATCCTACATTTGCTCTCATATTGAGAATCAATATTATATATCTATATAGACAAATGATAAATAGATATAGATATGCATATACATACATACAGACATGTGTACAGGATATGAACACAATAGGGGACTTAGATGGGAAATAGCCTAAAGAAGGACTTGGGGGGACAACAAAGGGATTTAATGGCAGAAAGAGGGACTAGTCACAGTGAAGAAGTGGCACCAAGAAAGAGGGATAGAATATGAGGGACTAAAATAGGGGATGAATATGAACCAGGGTCTTCAAGTTTGTGCATGAAATTTTCACAATGAATTCCGTGACTTTTAGTGAACTTCAAAAGTTACAAATATAAAAATAGTGCAACTAGCCTTAGAAGCCAGAGGTAGTGTTTTTAATTTTAATTTTAATTTTAATTTCTTAGGAAAATTAATCCTATCTTGCAAGTCAATGTCTTGTTTGTCCACATAGCTTCTGTCTGTGTATTGTGTGAAATTTAGAGCTTAGGGAACAGCACCATAAGCATAGAGTATCTACAGCTATCAAAATGACTTAACTGCTTCTTTGCTCTGACCTAGAAGGGGCGTGTCTACTGATAGCAACCATGAAATTTTAAGATGCTAACTTTCTCGAAAGCAAAAAAGCATGGAAATGTTCACCCCTTACAGTTCTAAATATCTGTGGTAGTGAGGTGGATGCTGATGAAGTTTCTACTTTCTATTGTGTTGGAATTAAAATTTAAAAAGACAAGAACTAGAGAGACAGCTCAGCATCTATGATCACTTGTCCTTGAAGAGGACCTAGTTTAATTAGGTTAATTCCCAGTACCCACATGCTGGCTCATAATTGCCCAGGGGTACCAACCATAAAAGTTCCTTCAGGTTGTTGCCAATTAATGATGGAAATTGTGAGAATATTTACCAGTGTAGTACCAGATAATTGAAAGGTGGTGAGTCTGTGACATTAGTTAAGGAAGAATATTTACGTCATGTGAACTGTTTTATGACTCAGTTTTTCTTATACTCTCTTAAATCAACCTTAAATCTCTAACATAGTAGAAGCAATCTCTTGGAGAGATTTTCCTCAGATAGTTAAACTTTCTTAGGAAAGAATAGATAAGGCATTGACTAGGGTTTGTAGAAAGAGCTTGTTGTGGGACGTTATCAATTGCAATCAAGCTGCTTGTGAAATCTGCACCTCACAGATTTCCAAGAGGGTCTGGATCCATCATTTAAGCAGATGTGAAAACATACAATCACAGATTTCACACAAATAAATGACATCATATTTCTGAATCAGAGGCTATGACTGCATGATAAACATTAACATTCTAAAATGACATGCTTGTATGTATGACAAAGGTTAAGTTATATGACACAGTTGGCCATGTATCCTGGAAAATTAGTTAAATCAGTTATTTGACCTCGTCTAGAAGAAAGTTTTGCAT